ATCAAAATTACAATATTACGGTAAATATGTGACCTCTCCCTCTTGTGTCCACTGTTTGCTAAGTTAGACCTGCAAAACCCTTATCATTTTCTACACATTAGAGAGGAGGACGAATGGGAGACAGCCTTTACCTCTCCTAGTGGCCATCGTGAGTATTGTCTCATTCTCGTTGGCTTGTCCAGCTGCCTGGTTATGTTCCAGGCTTTAATCTGAAACAAAATCAACAGGCCAATTTTCATGTATTTAGATTATTTTCTCCAGTACATTTCAGGAACCTAATCAGCATATCCACAAGGTTCTAGAACAGGGCCGGTGTATATGCAGGTTTTTGGGATAAGATGTAGGTCAGCTGTTCAAACCCAGGTGTGAGGAATCTTCAGCCAATCAGTCCTCTAATTAGTAATCTAATTAGGGAGTTGCAGCGAAAACCCGCAAACACAACAGCCCATTCTGGATAAGATTGGCCACCCCTGTTCTAGAATGACTACTGGACAATCAGCTTGAAAAGTGCTGGTTCCTTATGTTTCACACATCCTTCTTAGGGTTTTCAGAACTCCTCTACCTAGGTTTCTATGAGTCATGGTACAGGCTGGACAGTGACCTGCAACACAGAAATGGGTTAAATACTTCCTTGGATTTGCACATTTTTATAGGAGACACATCAGTAATTACAGTAGATACAGCGCCCATCTCCACTCTCATCCAAGGATCAAAGATCAAGTTGGCAGCAGCCACTCAGGAAGCACTCAAAGCCCCAAAGACACTCAAAACCCTGATGCTGTAGCAACAGTACTGGTTCCTCTGACACCCAGTACCAGTCGAAGACCATGCGATGGTCCAGACAGGCCTCACAGCCCGCATCTCCCACCAAGGACAAAATGAAATTAGCTTGCAAAGTCAGAGCTTCCCCAGAAGATGGCGCCCTAAGTGGCTGCCTATGTTGCCTATTGGGTTGACAACAGAGGTGGACATTTCAGGTCCAGAAAGTAAAAATCCAGACCAGGATTTTGTTTCAACCAATCAGTTGAGCATAAAGAGTCACAGTCACAGAGTACTCAGCTGGTCATTTTTACGTTCTGGACCTGAAACATACGCCTTTGCCAAGCACCTCTGACACCTCTGACATAAGAGAAGGTGTGTTTTTATCACAAAGGTCAGCGGTAGACAGCAAGATGTATGCGTGTCTCATCTTCTGACGTAAGCTCTTCGCCATAGAATGAAATTATTATCACGTTATTTTTCACTTTTTGGGCGATGACGGTCAAAGTATTACTTTTTTCCAAGTTTTAGGAGAGTAGTATGTCGTGTCCCTTTATATAAATTAAAAGAATTATTTTATAATATGCTAAGTGCACTTTAATTGCTATTACAGTAAAGTATGGGCATTTTTATTTTGAAAAGAAACAAAAAGTGATATAGGTGATGTTTTCCCATATTTGTTTTATAATTGTCAGAGTAATAACGCAAAGGCAATTACTTTTACTTTTCATTTCAAATAAAACACAGGGTTGCCAACTTTGGTCAGCTATTTGGAGTGAGATTTACAATTCGGGACAAGTCTGCACACGCATTTACGTGTGTGAGTTTTATTGCCTTGTAAATAGTATGTAAGGTTTGCAAACTACCCCAGTGCTTTTGCTGTAGCTAATTTTATGTTTATAATGGAATATAGATTTATTTATTTCCTGCATGAGCGTGCGAGTCTGAAAGCATGATTTTCGTGCCAGATGCTTGGGAGTTTGCAACCCTGAAGATGTACATTAAGTGTTTTATATGAGTTGATTTGTATAAAAAATGAACTTTATACAGTTGTTAAATAACGTAAACTTTGATCATGAACTCACCAATCAACTACGTTTAGTTATCCAACGTTTTATAAAATACATACTGCGTCTGAAAACTTTTAAGCTTTACAACTGAAGGACAGAGCAGCCACTCTCTTAAGAAGAACACAGCTTTTTGGTTGAGAGAGTTAGAATCGCAACTGTTATTACTGTAACACTAATGGCACATTAGCTCAAACAAGAGGGCTGCATATGCCAAAGTGGGCCTACGTGTTACTTGGAGGTTAAAGCAGTTTGATGTTCATTGGTATAGGAGACGGGTGAATATGCTTTACTTTGTAATTTTCCACTATATGTGTGTGTGTGTGTGTGTGTGTGTGTGTGTGTAACAAGGTTTGTTTTTTAATGTGTATAACTATACAAAATCTGTTTATTTTAAAGTTGTCCATTTGCTATCGCGACACCCCATCAGAATGTGTAATAGAAAAATAACACAACACAGATAAACCGGTTTCATATACCATATAAGGACAAGTATTCAGATTACAACTGAGGCCTTGAAGAAAATAAAATGCTTTATTTTTTGTAAACAGGCTGTTGTATAATTAGGCTGTAGACTTCTCGCGGCGTTACCGGTATAGCAAATCCATATCGTGGTGCACAATCACACCGGTAATGACTATGACATCAGTGTACTGCCCTCCAATACTTGTGGGATTGCTCACAGCCAATCAGTGAAGGTATATACTTTCATGCCGACAAAATTAATGGATTTAGTTGTACATTACCCATCTCAATCCCTGCACACAGAGTCTCACAAACTCACACCTCACTATACAGGTCCTTCAAGGATTATAAGATGGGTCAGCTCAATGGCTTATTGGTGGGCGCTGCTAAGATCCTCTTTCACATATCCGTATTGTGACCAATCTCCTCATTCACCTCCTGTGTCTCTGCTCACCTTGTCTTGTAAGCAGGCCGGTCCACATGTTCTGGAGACTGATTCCCACAAAACGCAGGTGGGGCGTGCAGTGTCTTGTAGATCGGGAGGTCGAAGGCACTATGATCTTGAGGAGAATTCCTGGGTGCCCTGCTGTTACACTATGGGCTTGGACCACATTCAGGATTTCTGCCAGGACCTTTGTGAGTCACCGGGATAGGGGCACATACTGTCACACCTTGTACAAGCAGAGATAGAGGTCCTAGAGCACGGATGTCAAACTCCAGTCCTGGGGGGCCGGAGCCCTGCACATTTTTGGGTTTCCCCTCATTTAACACCCCTGATTCAACTGCTTGTTCTAATTACCACACAGCTCTTGAGCTGAATCATTTGTGGTGGAACAGGGAAAGAACTAAGCTACACAGGGCTCCGGCCCCCCAGGACTGCAGTTTGACACCCCTGTCCTAGAGAATCTTCCCAGAATCGTAAGGAAACTATGAAATTGCGTTCTAAGCGAGGATTATTTAATTATAGAAATCACCTGTGCCTCCTGAAGATGAGATTGCGCAGCCTAGTTCAGTTTTGAAAGTTTCATTTGTGGGTTCAGTTTCCTTGAGTGTTGGGTCTATTTACATTATTTGCTCAATAAATGATTCCATGAGCCTCAATTATTACCCTGTCTAGTTGAAATGCTTGACTAAATGTATAATTCTCTGCTGAGATATGGCCAAATTAGCAATACTTTTTTCGTTTCAAATATAGAATTTTGTGTATTTTGTGAAAAGTCACATGACAGAATTCTGTACGCTCAGTATTTGTGGCAGTACACTTGGGCGAAAGTGGTACCTATCATTTAGAAGATTGTGAGAATGTGATTCCCCAACTGGGCGATCTGTAGACGTGACACCATGGTGTTACAGCCGAGTCATTACTAATAATGCACTGGGAAGTGTGGTCTTATTTTTTAATAGGCTCATACTGGAAGAGTTAATCAGCTGCCCTGTTACTCTGAACTGCAAAATTAGACCTCTATAGTAGAGGAACTGATTATAGTTGTTGAAGAAACATCAGTGTCAAACAGGAAGGTTTCTGAAGGGTACTCCGGGCTATACAAACAATTAGGATAACATGCATTGAGATTGTTTTTGGTTCATGATGACCAAAGCAGAGGTCAGTCCAAATCTGCCAGGTCATGGAGTATTGGTAGTCAAAAAAGTGAGGAAGACTTTTGATCATGGCTTATAAACTGCCCCCCCAATTTAGTTTAATTTACAATTATCTCCTTTTACATATATTTCAGTTATTATTATTCTCCAAGCTATTTTTGTTCCCATAAAGTCGAAATGGACATCTGAGGGCTTATAGACAGCTAGAAACCTTCAGAGAATTCCGGCAATTTAGAGCATCTTTATCTGTGATCGCCACACATGCAGAGCAAACAGCAACCTTCCCAGCAGCTGGAGTCTGGAGAGAGAGACCCACTTGCTTTACAGCCCCAGTGTGCTGAATCGCTCCTCGGGTCAGGGTGTCCACCTCTGATGACTGCCCCCCCCCAGCTGATATTTGAACAGAAAGCTGTCCCCGTTTCAGCCTGTGCTCGCCTTCGCAGTTTGTTCTGGCACAGGCGCGGTAAAAGGCTGCCGCTGGGCCGCAGGTGTCCCGCATTGTGCCCGTCAGACAGCTGCTGCGCATTAATCACACGATTACGCCAGCGCCGCCGATCGACTGGGCGGATGCCATTTTTAAAAATGCGGCATTAAATGCATCTGCAAATCGACTGTGAGTCAGGTGCTGAGATGTGACAGCTGTATTTTCACTGTAGTTTTTCACTTTGATGACAGAAAAACGCAATTGTACAACAGTATTTTAGTATAATTTTATCTATTCATTTGTTTGTTTGTTTATTTATTTATTCATGTGGCACCGACTTTTAGTGGACGATGCCACATCTCCTTTTTAAAGGGCATGTAAATACTGCAAAAAGGATCAAATATTAAAATTTTACATTTACTTCATTTAGCAGCCGCTTTTGTCGAAGGTGACATATAAATGAGGCAGGTAGCATAATGCAAACATACGGCTGTCGAGCAGATGACTGGGAATGAAAGAAGCTTGGCTGAGCTTCCAGCGAACGCCCAGTTACAAGTGTAAGTAGCATTGGAGCAAGAGTCATGCAACATCCAGAAAGCAACAAAACACAAGAAAGCAAGAACCTAAGACTGGCATTTATGATGTGGTAGTTAATTCCTGGTTATTCTGGTTGTGTTCTTTTGGAGGTGGGATGTGTCTGCACAGAGCCGGTCGCCGTCTCCTCTTCCCCAAGGTCCTCCCCTCTGCTCTTCTCCTCAGCGTCAGACAATTGCATTTTCTCCTACTGGCTCGGTGCGGGGGAGCAACTGGCAAATGTCAGGCTGTGACAGGGGGCCATCCGGACGCAGATCGCGTACCCTCAGGGCCTGCAGGGCTCCGTCAGTTTCTCCTCGACTCCGAAGGCCCAGCCCTGGCCTGAAAGCGGCTGGCCGTTCTGACATTCTCATTCTGCATTAACCTGGCCGAGCTGCCCTCAGGCTCCACCGTGACGAACGTGCTAAAGGAAGATCTACTGGATCTTCCACACAAGCCTCTTACGTGCGTGTGCATGGAAGGCCAGCGTGATGTTTTATTTAAAGCAATGTAAATAAACGATCTGAATAAAAATATGTCTGAATTCGCAATATATTGTAAAACTCCCTTTTTCCGGTCATGGTGGAGGTACAGCATTCCGTTTCAGTGTGTGACTCACGGTTGATTTGAAGATATATTTAACTCAGCATTTAAACGAAACCCAAAGTGAATGAATCACACCTGTAATTGAGAGTTGCATCCTTAATGACCACATGCACTGGATTTTGTTTGATTCTAGGTGTCAGTCATGAGAAATAGAGAAGTGCCTCCTTCCCTGTCAGGCTATAATATTAACCAATGCTAACAGGGATGGGAGCTACATTATGGGACCTTGTGTTTGACCCCAAGGTCTGGGAATGAGGCAGCCATGTGCCAGGCACCTGCAGAGTGTATGATAGCTTTTGTATAAATATAACATCTCAGATTGGCTTACTTGACCCAGACATGCACATATACTTACTACCTAACAACTACTCAGGTACAGAAACATATTTTTTGCACAAAAAATGCTTTTACATGAAGTGGTGAGCTTGAATTATAATTATCTTGGTGAAAAGTAATATAATTCTGATTTACTCAGTAGTATAAGCTGTGCTGCTATGAGACGGCACTGGAACAGGAAAAATCTTTGATAACAAATTACCAAGACGGCTGCATGTTAAGAGGCTGAATGGATATGTTACCTGTTATCTGTTCTCCAAAGGTTGAATAATTAATCAATTCAACTAAGACTTTGGTTGTTTTATGGGGGATCCTGGGTTATGGACATGAAGATGACCAGTTGAGGCACTGTGAATGGGTTAGGATCATGGATAGGTTTAGGCTTAAACCCTGGAAGGTGTACGATTTCAACCCATATGAAGAAGCATCAATTCTATCTGCCATGTACCAGGCATGTGATGACATCCCAGAGGCAGAGGTACCGCTAGAGATTTTGGGCCCCATGAAAATATATCATACTGGGCCCCCAACCCAGACCAATCCAATTATATTCCAAATACTTTAGGGCCCCTGTCACTTGGGGGCCCTTGGAATCATCATTACATTGTTCTGAGAACTATGTTGGGTTATTTTATCGATAATTATTTTTTTGAAATATTTTAACTACTTCCATGCATACTAACCCTTATGCTGGAAAACACTAAATACAGGAAAAATATGGTACCTACTCAGGTTAACTGGGTAAACACCTTCCCTTCAAGCAAAAGAGGACAAGGATTTTTCACATAGGTTTAAAATGAAGACTGTGAATAAAGTGAGGCGGGTGGGACCCACAAAATGAGAAATGAGGAAAACAGTCAAGGGATTATATTAAAGGTGTATTCACACTAGGCAATCCATACCGGGCCTCACCAGGTTAGACCTCCAAAGTCTAGTTTGACTAGTGTGATCACTCTGTGCTGGGCCGGAGTATTTATCAATATGTGTACTTGATCATACTTCTGTTCTTGTGTACCTGTTTCACGTCATCTTCCATTACTGAAAACCATCAATGCTAAGAACAGGAGTACAGAGGACGGTAAAAACCCCCCATGTTGGTCTTGCCCTGCCCAAAGTATACGTCAGTTACATCCTTGCCAAAAGGATACCAGTCCCATGATTCATTGTGCATCAAGAGTCTTGCCAAGACCGCGAGCATGATCTTCGCGTTGTTGGTATTGAGAAACACTCCTGGTCATGCCTCATTTGGACCAGAATACAGAGATGACATCACTGATGTGACTGGCACACGCATGAGCACATGTTCTTATACATGAACCAGAGCCGGAAGGAACAGATAAGGAAGGGTGAACCTTTGGGCTGTACTGATCCGGAAGCGGCAACCATTTAACAAACATTGTGACAAGGGGATCACTTTGGTCTACAGCAGAGGTGCAGGGTTTGCTGGAAATTTAGACTGACAAGAATATCCACAAATAACTCATGCTTGGGCATGGAGAAAGGCAACTGGACCAATGTGAGTATGCCACAGGCCATCGTCACTGGGCTGAGTGCAACACGGGAAGGACTGCTGATGAAGATGATGAGGTCCTTAAGGTTTATATACATCCAGCAGTGTTTTCAATCCTGTCCTTGGGGACCCACAGCCAGTCCACGTATTTGCTCCCTCCAAGCTCCATGCCAGACTGTGGGTCCCCTAGGACTGGATTGGGAAACACTGACCTACAGGATTAGACATTTGACTGCATTATCTCTGGACCCAGCGAAAGAGATAATTCTTCCAAAATGCCAGGAAGTGTTTTTGTTTGAGTTACTCGCATGTTCCAGAGATGGATGGGAAGTACATCTGCAGGGACAGGGACATTGAAGCACAATCACAAGACCTGCCGATACTGTAGCTGCATCCCATACCACAGAACACCAAGGCATCACTGAACAGGCCAACAGACTGGAAATAACTAGGTATACCATAAACTCCACTAACCCCCCCCCCCCCCCTTCCTGGCAAACGTAGCGAAACAGCACACCATTCCGGGAGAGACTATTAAGATGTTTACTACTATTAGACAACTGCGTCAGAGATGGCAGGGACACCATGCAGGAAAGAGAACAGGAACAGGATGAGAAAGAAAAAGACCTCGGAACAGAGAGGTTTCCAGAAGGATGGTGAATAAGCCTACAGTGGCAGGGGCCCCCAGAACTTAGGCATCAGAAGCCATTCATTGTTTATTCTTTAAGTTTAAATTTGTGCTTCAAAGGATTCAGAATATAGGACTGGATTTTTTTATCAGGTAAATAGAAAATATTACAGTACTGTGCAAAAGTCTTAGACAGTCAAAGAAAATGTTTAACGCTATTCGTCTTGGTAGTAATTCTACATTTTCTGGAAAAAAAACACAATCTAACATTATAAGACATGCAAATTAAGAGTAACAAAAATTTCATCTGTTTTTCGAAAAAGTTACTGATATCTTGTTGGTTCCCAAACTTCTCCTCAGGGGGACCTCAGCCATTCCATGTATTCATTAAATTTTTCCATCAGCTCAATTAATTAATAAATTAATTAATTAACTTGTTTAGTTAAATAACTCAGCGGTGTACTGATTAACAAGGTGTGCTTGTGGTCGAGTCAAAAAGTTCATGTGTGTTTTAGACAGTTGCTGCAAATACTGTGGTGACTTTAGCAGACGTTTTGAAATGGCTAAGCTGACACACATTGTCAGATATGATATCATAGTTTTACACCAGCTTGATTTAAACATTTTCTGTGACTGCCTAGGACTTTTGCACAGTACTGTATTTAGAAGCAGTACTTAACGGATTAATCCTTTAAATATTGATGAATCGATTTGATTTATCAATGAATGTTAAATGTTGGTGATTGACTGCCCCTATGCCATTTTCTGTGATTTACATTAAGATATACATCTACCAATTGTTTATCCTGGTGAAGGTCATGAAAGGCCTGAAGCTTTTCTCGGGCAGCAAAAGACACAAGACTGGGGAGCACCCTGGGTGCGATGCCGTGTATCACAGGACACATTATCTGCGAAATATTTAGAACGGAATGGGACAATTGTGGAGAAACAGAATATTCACAAAATATTCTTGAATCCAAGTATCTGCAGAATTTCGCTGCTGAATAACTGATTGGCTTTCCAGAGCACGTAATAAAAACCACGATGCCGTCAGCCTGATAGTCTGTCATTTAGCAATGGGAAAATTGCTTCGCGGATCCTCTCAAAACCACGGCCAGTTAGTATACTACTGCTGCCCTCTGGTGGCCAATTATTTTAATCCCCGTAAGAAATATTGAATGTTATCCGATCAAATGTCACTAAATGCAAGAACTGTTATTATATGGAAGGTGTTTTGTGACAATATTCAATAAATGATTATGCAATGTCATTTAAAATATTATTTATAAATTTCCTTTAAAAGTAATCATTTAAATCGTCATTTAAATAAGTTTAGTTGTACTTAACAGTAGGCTATGTGGTCGCCGGAGAAATTTAGGACACCTTATCTGCTATCCGAAGGTTAGAAGAGTTTAAGATTTTGGGAAGTTAGGACGTAATACTGCCCCATTAAATGCACTAAGAGAGATCGATCAGTCCTGTTTGCAATTTAACCACTCAGGTTTTGTTTACAACCCGCCCACTTTGTCAGATAATTTCAATAGCTGCTGAACAATTAATTGTAAAAAAAAACGCGATCTTGATTCGTAATTCATAATAATAAAACACACTTTTTAAAAGACATTTCTACACTTATTATATCGATGCGAAATTGCTGCAACTGTGGGGGTGAACTTGAAACTTAGGGGGTTCCTTGAAACTGCATCATCGCGATACGTCACAGGCGATGGGAACGTCGCATGGCAGCACCTATAATACTGGGACTTTTCGGTATGGCTGTCTTGGTTACCCTGACTGAATGGTCATTTGAGCGTTTCCTTTCTGTTGTCAGAATGTGACATGCCGGTTAGTCATGTTTGGCACGACCGTGTTTTGTTGTGTTTCTTTTTGCTGTTTAATGGGTGCAATAAACGTTTAAATTCGAGGGGAAAAAATCGTTACAGAGATTACAGTAGCAGACATTCTACTTTATCAAAAGTATTTAAAAGTCCGAAATGTATTACAGGTCAGACTACTTATAGGCCTACTTAGTTTTCATCTTTAGACTTAAGTGCCTCATTTAACATGTCCCACCATATTTTTTTTTATGTTTTTATTAGAACTCAAATATACAACATGGCATGGAAGTACAACAGTATGCATTGCTACTCATCCATACCCCACTTATCATGGGCAGAGTCCAGGCGGGGCTAGATCCTGTCCCAGGCAGCGTAGGGCACAAACCTGGGGTCCCTGGGCGTGATGACCGTTGTTGCAGAGGTACGTATTTGGCTGTCATATATCTTGCATACTGTAAGTATTTAAGCTTTTCGCTGTCACGTTTCTGACTTGCAGTTACTTGATATAGCCCGGTGAGGGCGCACGGCACCTCTGTGTTTAATATGATGAGAAGACGCGTTTGTTTTCCTGTAACCTCGCCTGTCGTTTTTATATTTTCC